TGGAAATCCAATTCCTCTGACAGGAAGGACAATCTATACTTCTGTGCTTGATGCATAACCTCAGTTCTCTTCAAACAAACTGTTAGCGCAAAGAAATTAAAGCACATCAGAGTACAAAAACTGTATTCTTTGGCAGTTTTCCAAATGAGGACAGCCAGTAGAAAAATCCATCCTGCTGTATGCATCTCACCTTTGATAGGCTGCAGGCATTAGGAGATGGCATGGACCCTGCAAAGAGAGGAGAGCTTTTTTCCAAAGACAGCTTGCTAACCTCTATATGCTACCTATAAATAAGCTAAGAAGTAAACAAAACTGGAGCAAGGTCAGTAGTCTCCTTTCTCTTATTTGGAGCCCTCAAGGATGAGGTTCTTAAATTTTTACCTCCTTTAAAGACTTTAAGATCTTTGTGACTTTATCCCACAGCCTTCAGGCAGAGACATGTAGGATCTTTACTCTAGCTTGCTACTTTTGATTTTGCTCCCATTTAATATTTTAACTGAATCTGATGAAAAGAGATAGTGGCAGAAATGCCATCACTGTACACCATCTTCCCATACTTCCTCTATTGATTCTCAGTTCTCTACATAACAGCTTTGAGTATTCACTGAAAGAACTTGGTTACAGTTGCTGACAGACACTGTACCTGGTAAGCTTGCCATTATCCTAATCACAGAAATAAGACTTTCACTATCATTTATACAACCTTTCTCCTCTCTCTTCTCCCCAATAATTTCAAAACCCACTTGATTAATGTCAGCTGAATTTGACAGACAGATAATAGTCTTAAAGATGGGAAGTTCAGGATAAGAGAGAAACCTAAATTAATGGTACTTCTTAGGCATTAGTCATTGTCTTCCATTCCAAGAATTCGTTGTTGTGCAACCGATGCTCCTAACCTGATCTGTCTCATCTCTTGTGCAGGCAGGCAAATAGGGAAATATGGTATAGTGAGAAGTCACAGGGAGCAAGAGCTGATGGCTCTGTGAGGGATGTTTATCGTGCTGGGGTGCCTGGACTGCGGGACATGCGTCCATTAAAAACCAGGCTTGTTAATCCCACTGCCTGTGGAAATACATGGGGTTTAGTCTGTTTTCTTAACTGCAGCAAACAGCTAGTAAAAAACCCACAACAGAGAGAACTCACAGAATTAAGCTGAAAACAGTGCCTGTAACAGTAGTTCCTCAAATACCTAAAACAGGTCTGAGCATAGTAACCTTCCTGTCTAAAAGATGGTATGTAGATTAAGCACCCTGAAACAAATGCACTATTTTCACATAGATTTGTCATTTAACTGTAAAAGTAACAAGGTGCATCCTCTCCAAGCGTATTGGCATGTGTCTAGTTCCACTGCACTGGGGAGGGGGGACAGGCACTGGATCTTGCCCAGTGGTCTGTAACTTGGACAGGCTGCCTTATCTGGTGTCCATGCGGAAATACTGGTGTGGAAACGATTCACTGTGGGATCAGTTTTACCCTGCCTCTGTCAGCCACTCAGTTGCATTACAAGTAAATATATTGGCGCTGAGATTGATAATGTTCTGTTGTTTTGGAGACTTAGCTAAATAAGACTGGTTTCCTAGGTATCATAGACAGCATATGCTTCAACACCTGATACTTACATAAATCTGACACTGAGACACTTGTTTAGATGCACTGCATTTATTGCTGTTGTTATTTATTTAGGCCTAGATTGGAAAAGGTATTTAGGCACTTATATCCTGTCACTTCTCCCTGGTGGTTCTCACTGGGGGCCTCAGGAGCTGTCGATAAATGCCGGGGGCACAGGTACAGCTATGAGAGAAGCCAGTAGAGCTGCCTAAACAGAAAGACTGGGACAGCTGGCAATTTTAAAAGATTTTGTTTCTGCGTTGACTTTCTTTCCCTGCCTAGTGTGAGCTGCCAAAACTCACGGGCATTGGCACCACAGCTAAAAGAACTGCCATAGGTACCAGCAACGCTGCCAAAGATTTGCCACGGCCCTACTTAGGCTAACGGAGGCCTATGTCTTAGCATAGGCTGACACACAACTTCTTCATCACTCACCCATGGGCAATGCAAATGCTTAGAGTCTTCTTTTTGCTGATGGCTGCAGCTCTGGGGAATCTTTTTGCTGACACGTAGGATTTTTAGGGGATATTATTATCATATTTAAATGAAACTGCCATTGACATGAAAAGCTTCAATATGAAACTAGAGTGGCTTCATTGTCTTGCCAAAAATACATACTCTGATAAGGCTTGCCTATAAAAGCCAATGAGGATTAGTGCATAAATAGCATAGTGCTAACACTATAAATGATAGTAACTCCTGTTATGACAGAGAAAGAGGAACTTTCCATCAAGATCCCATCTTTTGCACCTAAGAGGACAGTACCTGGCTGTGTTCAGTTTGGGTTCATCTATGAATGGTTACATTAATCGCCAATGACATATGCCCAGCCACTTACAGCTTACTACTTTTTGCTGTGTTTGCATGTGCATACGTTCATTAGCAACAACTTCTAGCATCCTTGCCTCTGTCCTGCATGGTCATCTTGGTCCCATAAAGCAACAACTTGTAACAAGCAGTGAGGAAGTGCTGCCAGCCTGCCTGCTGTCTGTGTATTCTCCACAAGTCTGCAACATATGCGATCCTACCTGCATATCTACATGTGAATGGTTGTGGTGGCCATGGCAGGGCTTTCAGGTCTAGCCATCATCCCCTGCTGCAGTTGTATCCTAAAGATTCATGCACAGGATTTTCAAAAACAACTCAGTGACTTAAAAGCGTCAGTTTTTATTGGATGTCAATGGTATATGTCCCCCCACAACATTTAGGTCCTTTGAGAACTTTGTTCTCTAATAATAAGGAAGTTCATAGGCAAACATCTTTAGATCACTTGCTGCCTAAATTAGCAGTAATTAACAAGAACACATGTGGCAGTGCATTGCAGAAGTGGCTAAAAATTGCATTGCCCAGAGGAGGCATCTGTAAGATCAACACAATTCATGAAACCATTAGGATCTCTTCAAACCTGTAATCAGTAATCCATTTCTCCCCTTGATATGACACCCAAGTTTCAGTATACCACTTTCTTTTGTTCCTACTTGCTCACCCCAGTAACTGTATTAACACAAGTCTAGGCTATGAGCACACAAAAACTTGAGTGCCTGTTTCATGGCTCTTCCCTGCCGTGATGTGGCATCCCTACAGGTGTGGCTCCATCCCCATGTGGGGATGCAGCACTCAAGTAAGAAAGAAGGGGGCTGTGCAGGCCCTGCCCAGCGTGGTGCAGCAGCAAAGGTATCTGTGGTATGAGACAAGTCAGTTCTCTTTTCCACTTCCTTTCTTGTTTGCTTGTTTGTTTGCAAAAGGAATCAACAGTAGGATGTCATTGCATGACTCAGCACTGGAGCCGCCAGTACAGGTAAACAGCACTTAGGATTTCATCTGGTTCTGCCCCGGACCAGCCTGGCCCATGAGCTTTGCTGAGGAGTCAAGAGATGGGAAGTGGAGGTTTCCTCTTTGAAAAGGCGTCAGAGAAGACACAGTATACCTCAGCCCTAGCTCTTCCAAGATAAAAATCAGCTAATCATACAGTCACAAAAACACAGAATGGTTTGGGTCAGGAGGGGCCTTTAAAGATCATCTAGTCCAACCTCCCCCTATCAGAAGGAACATTTTTCACTAGACCAAGTTGCTAAAAGCCCCATCCAACCTGGCCTTGAACGTTTCCAATGACAGGACATCCGCGACTTCTCTGGACAACCTCTTCCAGTGTCTCACCACCCTCATAGTAAAGAATTTCTTCCTTGTATCTAATCTAAATCCACCCTCTTTTAGTTTAAAATCATTGCCCCTTGTCCTGTCACAATAGGCCCTGGTAAAAAGTCTCTCTCTGTCTTTCTTATAAGATCCCCTTTAAGTACTGAAAGGCTGCAATATGGTCTCCCCAGAACCTTCTCCAGGCTGAACAGCCCGACTCTCAGCCTGTCCTCATAAGAGAAGTGTTCTAGCCCTCTGACCATTTTGGTGTCCCTCCTCTGGATCTGGTCTAACAAGTCCACGTCTTGTGCTGGGGGCCTCAGAGCAGAATCACCTCCCTCAACCTGCTAGCCATGCTTCTTCTGATGCAGTCCAGGATACAGTTGGCTTTCTGAGCTGCAAGTGCATGTTACTGTCTCACATCCAGTTTTTCATCCACCAGTACCACCAAGTCCTTCTCCACAGGGCTGCTCTGAATCCGAATTGATTCAGAGCATATATTGATAGTGGGGATTGCCCTGACTCAGGTGTAGGACCTTGCACTTGGCCTTGCTGAACTCCATGAGTTTCACGCAAGCCCACTCTTCAAGCCTGTCAATGTTCTGGCTGGCACCCTTCCCTCTACCGAATCAACTACACCACTCAGCTTGGTGTCATCTGCAAAATTTCTGAGGGTGCACTCAGTCCCACTGTGTGTCATTAATAAAGATACTGAACAGTACCGATCCCAATACAGAACCCTGAGGGACACTACTTGTTGCTGATCTCCATGTAGACACTGAGCCATTGACTGTAACTGGATGCAGCCATCCAGTCAATTCCTTTTCCATCGAATAGTCCATCCATCAAATCCATCTCTCTCCCATTTAGAGGTAAGAATGTTGTGGGGGACCATATCAAAGACCTTTCCAAAGAAGTCAAGGTAGCTGACAGGTAGCTTACTTCTAGTAGGCTTGGAGTGTCTCATCCGGCATTTCCCAAGGACATCAGAGGTCATACCAGCATTTCAAGTGCTTGAATGCTCCCTGCAGGCAGAGGTCCAGCCTCACTGGCTCTGGGCTCTTCTCTGGACTCCTCCTGCAACTGGGAAATGTTGGAAGATCCAGCCCACAGCAGAGAAGGAGTTAAGTGCTTGACCAGCTGCCGTCTATGAGGCACTGAATTCTTTCCCTCTGCAATCCAGCAGCCAGCGTCAGGACAACACTATATTTAGAAAGCTGATAAAGGTTTGGTGCCGACAGTTGTCCTGCCCCTTGATGAAGAAGCCGCAGAGAGAGCGAGAGGGGGCAGCTGATTTCTCTCCCCCCAGTACTGTTCTCTGCCAGGTTTCCTGCCCTGTTCACTGGACTCCTTCGCGGTGCCTCTGGCAGGGACCCCCAGTGGAATCATCCAGGTACAGGGGGTAAGTGCCCTTTCCTTGCTCCCTTGCCTCCCTGCTTGCTGCCCTGTGAGTGGCAGCCGCTCCTCAGCCCTGTTGGTGGCATGTGGCTGCAGTCCCCCAGCCTGAGGTTGGCTGCTGGGGCCCTTCAGAGCTGCTGCCGGCTGTCGTGGACAGTGAGGCAGGTGTCGCTCTGGCTGGACCCAGGGAAGCGTTGGCTGCTGCGTTTTCACGCTCCTAACCGAGCTATGGCCCCCGCCCTCTCCAATGCCCAGGGCGGGCATGGCAGCCTCCCCACAAAGGATTACAAGGACGAAGTCCTGAGGCTTAAAGCGCCTTTGGCCTTGAGCTTTAGGAGTGTTTCATTTTGGGGAGGCGAGGTCTCATGTTTCTTGCCCCCGACGCTCCTTCCAGTCCGGCTCTGGCTGTGTACAGCTCCTTCCAGCCACCATGCACGGGCTGAGCCGGCCAGGGGGGGATAGAGTTTCTGCCCCACCACCCCTTCCTTCCTGGCCTTCCTGCAGGCTTACTCACAGGCAAGAAAGGCATCAGCACTTGCTGGGCAGCAGCCAGGGAGCTGCACGAGGCCTTGGGAATGGCAGGGGAGGAGCCAGTGCGGCTGGCTTACGGCAAGGGCTGCTTGCAGGGTTGTGGGAGTGAGATGTGGGAGCCCCTTCTGCCGTACCCCCCCTGCCACGGGCAGGGGCATGGCCTCCCTCCCATGCGGACCTCTTTAATGGCCCACCTTCCTGTCCTGCTCCCCTTGTAGCGGATCCTCTCGCAGCTGCCATGGCCAGCGGCAGAGATTCGGACAGTGAGCAGGTGGTGCCCGGTGAGGAGGACAAGGGACCGGACGTGACAGCCGTGCAGGCCCACTATCTCCGCAGCCCCTCACCCAGCCGGTGAGTATGCTCAGGCGCTGCCATGGCCTCCTGGTAGCATGTGGTAGATGAGCTTGCCTTCCCTCCTCTTCCACTGCTTCCTCTCCGCACAGGCAGTTGGATCAAGCATGGATCCCAGGGTTTCCCTTCCCTCTCTGAGGTGGGGTTTAGCGTGCCAGCAGGGAGAGAGGTTGTAGGGACAGACTCCTGTGCTAATTCATCCATCCTGCTGAGAGTGTATGCGCACATGACGGGGGTAAATTGCAGAGGGCACTACTATGGGATGGCATTGTTGCTCTTCCCTGTCTCATCCTCTCACATCCACCCCTACGCTGAAACTTCTGATTTGGATTTCAACTCTTCCCAAATTCAGTCCCCTCTTTCTGTCCATTATAAGGACCTGTGGATTTTGTTTGTTGATATTAGCCTTTCCCAGCCCCAGAAAGACCGAGGGTCTTTGGATTTGGGTTTGGTTCAGTGCCATCTTTAGCTGCAGGCTTCAGGCACTGAACAGGAGGCTGTCACAGTGCAAGCGGAAATTGAGTTACCTCAAGCAAAACAAGCATGATTAGGTATGTTTTCTCCTAAATACAAGGAAAAATACATACCTTTGTACTTCTTTCCTAAAATAAAATGCTCTGTTGGCCTTTCTGTACACTTTGAGATGCTTTAGCTGAAGGCAGGGAGTACAGATTGAGTTTGAAAAGAACCTCCCCTAGTGGTCCTCAACAAGTAGGAGATTATAAAATGTTTCCCATTAACTGTGGGGCACTGCAGAAAAAATGAAGACAGAGTGCTTATTTCATTTAACTACATGCATTTTTAAATTATTTAGGAAGTTCACTGAGCTGACATAAAGTAAAATTATGTATTGAGTCTGGTAAATCGCTCTCCTACTGCTCATCAGTCACTCAAAATGAACAGCAGCACCTCTCCAGT